AGTAAGATATTCTGTGTCTTATTTTCTATCCCTTTCCTAATAATTCCTAGCATCCTATGTGCCTTTTTGACCGCCGCTGCACACTGCGTGGAAGTTTTCAGAGAACTGTCCACGATAACTCCAAGATCTCTTTCCTGATTTGTTGTAGCCAAATTAGCCCCCATCATACTGTACACATAGTTGGGGTTATTTTTCTTGATGTGCATTACTTTATACTTATCCACATTAAATTACATTTGCCATTTTGTTGCCCAGTCACTCAGTTTGGTGAGATCTTTTTGGAGTCCCTCACAGTCTGTTTCTGTCTTGACTATCCTAAACAGTTTGGTATCATCTGCAAACTTTACCCCTTTCTCCAGATCATTTATGAATAAGTTGAAAAGGATTGGTCCCAGGACTGACCCTTGGGGGACACCACTAGTTACCCCTCTCCATTCTGAAAATTTACCATTTATTCCTACCCTTTGTTTCCTGTCTTTTAACCAGTTCTCAATTCAAGAAAGGACCTTCCCTCTTATCCCATGGCCATGTAATTTACACAGGAGGCTTTGGTGAGGGACCTTGTCAAAGGCTTTCTGAAAATCTAAGTATACTATATCTATGGGATCCCCCTTGTCTGCATGTTTGTTAACCCCTTAAAAGAACTCTAATAGATTAGTAAGACATGATTTCTCTTTACAGAACCATCCCAAACAAACCAGGCTGCACATGAAGTCCTAGCTTTATGCACAGCTAAACTACCCACCTGAAGGAAGTTCATAACTTTACTTTATGGTACAGTTACAATACAATTCTTCAAAAATATCTTCCTAGTGTTCAATTGGAAACCATGTTGCGACCATGTTAAGGTATAGTGGTTACAGAGGGGATGGACTATAAATGTCCTATTTTAACTCCTTCCAACAGATGGACAGAAGTCCTTTAGCAGTCCAACATCGCTATTCCTTAACAGACCAGATTTTTAGTTGAGTGTTGACATGCAGTCATCCTCAACTTCTGTCCCCTCTGCCATGATAAATAAAGACTGTTGCAAGGTACAGTGTTCTTAGCCCTTGGTGACACTGTCATAGACACACACGGAATTCTGTCCTTTTCACATTCCCGTCTCTGTGAATCATGTCCTGCCATTCCTTGTGCTTGAAACC